TACGGCACAATTACCACCAGAGAATGATGAATTTTACAATCTTTACGGCACAATTACAATCCAAGAAAGTTGAATTTGATGATCTTTACGGCACAATTACCAACAGAGAATGATGAATTTTACAATCTTTACGGCACAATTACAATCCAAGAAAGTTGAATTTTACAATCTTTACGGCACAATTACCACCAGAGAATGATGAATTTTACTATCTTTACGGCACAATTACCAACAGAGAATGATGAATTTTACAATCTTTACGGCACAATTACCACCAGAGAATGATGAATTTTACAATCTTTACGGCACAATTACCACAGAGAATGATGAATTTTATAATCTTTACGGCACAATTACCAACAGAGAATGATGAATTTTACAATCTTTACGGCACAATTACCAACAGAGAATGATGAATTTTACAATCTTTACGGCACAATTACCACCAGAGAATGATGAATTTTATAATCTTTACGGCACAATTACCACCAGAGAATGATGAATTTTACAATCTTTACGGCACAATTACAATCCAAGAAAGTTGAATTTTACAATCTTTACGGCACAATTACCACCAGAGAATGATGAATTTTACAATCTTTACGGCACAATTACCAACAGAGAATGATGAATTTTACAATCTTTACGGCACAATTACCACCAGAGAATGATGAATTTTACAATCTTTACGGCACAATTACCACCAGAGAATGATGAATTTTACAATCTTTACGGCACAATTACCACCAGAGAATGATGAATTTTACAATCTTTACGGCACAATTACCACCAGAGAATGATGAATTTTACAATCTTTACGGCACAATTACCACCAGAGAATGATGAATTTTACAATCTTTACGGCACAATTACCAACAGAGAATGATGAATTTTACAATCTTTACGGCACAATTACCACCAGAGAATGATGAATTTTACAATCTTTACGGCACAATTACCACCAGAGAATGATGAATTTTACAATCTTTACGGCACAATTACCACCAGAGAATGATGAATTTTACAATCTTTACGGCACAATTACCACCAGAGAATGATGAATTTTACAATCTTTACGGCACAATTACCACCAGAGAATGATGAATTTTACAATCTTTACGGCACAATTACCAACAGAGAATGATGAATTTTACAATCTTTACGGCACAATTACAATCCAAGAAAGTTGAATTTTACAATCTTTACGGCACAATTACTACCAGAGAATGATGAATTTTACAATCTTTACGGCACAATTACCAACAGAGAATGATGAATTTTACAATCTTTACGGCACAATTACCACCAGAGAATGATGAATTTTACAATCTTTACGGCACAATTACCACCAGAGAATGATGAATTTTACAATCTTTACGGCACAATTACCACCAGAGAATGATGAATTTTACAATCTTTACGGCACAATTACCACCAGAGAATGATGAATTTTACAATCTTTACGGCACATAGGAATATAACTTTTTTTTCGATTTTTACGACAAAATTACTATCCGAAGAAAGTCGTCATCTTAAACAGCTTTTTTATTTCTTATAAGTTTACTCTGTAAAATTAATTCCACAGGATAAACAGCATCTTCGATTTATAAAAGGATTTGTAAAACTTCAGTATTACATTCCTTTCCAACCCTGAGATATTGAACAAAACGAAAACTTCCTTGATATTTTCTCATATCAAGGGTCATAGGCGCGAAAAAAGTGATTAAAACTCGAATACGAATCTAACACAATACAATATTGGAAACTTCATTCAATATTCCGACCTTCAGTATATTTTGGCCTTTACAATACATTGTCCTTTAACATAAACATACTTTATACCTCAAATGCGTGACAATTACTTACAAATGTAATCACATTAGAATATTAATCAGTTTTTTTTTTTTTTTTTTTTGTTTCGTTTATTTCGACTTTTTCGTGTTTGTTTGTTGTCGATATCGTTCCTTTTTAAACTTTAAGTAGCCAAAATATGTTTGGTATATTTATGAATATTAATTATACAACAGTTCAGGAACGTTCACAATAAGTGTATAATAAACATGACGTACTTCGTGTATTCAATCGCTGATTTGCTGACGTGACACTTACATGCGGTCCTATACTGTGTAGCAGCGCTCAAAACACATGTAGGGGAATAGTTTGTCTCACCTGTTGACAGGTGAGAAGGTCGTACCGACTGTTAGACATCGGTAAGGTACTTGATTAAACAATCACGGGCATTGTTCTCCAGACTGGATTCCGACAGAGTAATACGTACTACGGTAGTAGCCTGGAGCTTTACGATAGGAAATAACAGCACACTCACTCCGTCTCATTTAACCAAGACGGGCCTATTACCAAAGTCCTAATCATTTTTTTCCCTTCTGGAATTTTTTATGGAAATGTGTTTGTGTATCAGGTGAATTAATTCTTTAGTAAGTTTTTCTGATCGTGATGTTTCCTGGACAGTCTCAGTGGATCGGTGTAATTTCAGGATGATAGAACGCGGAGACTGAGATATAGAAGAGAAATACAACAGGTATGTTATCATTCAAAAAAACAATAATTGAAATTTTTCGTCTGTAATTATTTAAGTACGTAAATTGTGAAAAAAAACTTGTTACAAGCATTAATGTCATTTTCTGACAATACAAAATCGTTTTAATCTGTTTGAGTTTGCTTCTTTCGATCATAGATGGTTTTCAAAACATAAATCAAGATGAAAGTTTTGCCATTTGTGGCAGCAGAACACACTAAACCTTTTTAAGATATGCGAAGTAAAGGATAACAAAATCAAAGTATTCTTTAAATTCACCAGGAACCCTGAGAGACTTCCATACATAGCAAATCTTAAATAAGTTTCTATTAATTTAAAATTCAGGAAATGAATTGAGAATCTTTCATTTCACCAACCTCTGTTGAAGTAAAATTTTTAATTCGAGTAGGAAATGGAAGGGAATGTATTCATCTGTGTATCTGTGATACAACATTTTGGCACTAGAAAATTATGACGTCACTAATAGAAACAACAGGATTTCAAATTACATCACACTCCTTCATGTCACAGTGAAATCTCACTCCTTCATGTCACAGTGAAATCTCACTCCTTCATGTCATACTGAGATCTCACTCCTTCATGTCATAGTGAGATCTCACTCCTTCATGTCATAGTAAGACCTCACTCCTCCATGTCATACTGAGATCTCACTCCTTCATGTCATAGTGAAATCTCACTCCTTCATGTCATAGTGAAATCTCACTCCTCCAGGTCATACTGAGATCTCACTCCTTCATGTCATAGTGAGATCTCACTCCTCCATGTCATACTGAGATCTCACTCCTTCAGGTCATAGTCCAGTCCTACTCTTCCATGTGCATCTGTGATGAAAATAATCAATGTGTAATGTGATAACACTTCCAGGGTTATGATAACAAGAATACTTTTTATAAAAAAAAATTGATCGGTGCAAAAGTTCTTGGGGAATAAAGAAGCGATATTTAGAAGAGAACAGGAAATGACACAAAGAGGAAACAATTATACGACACTTACGCCGAAACAAGAACACAACACTAACGAGGACACAAACACACCACAACACTAACGAGGACACAAGCACACAACACAAAGGAGGAAACAAGTACACGACACTAACGAGGACACAAACACAGAATACTAACAAGAAAAGATGTACACAATACTAACGAGGAAACAAGTACACAACACTAACGGGGAAACAAGTACACAACACAAACGAGGAAACAAGTACACAACACTAACGAGGAAACAAGTACACAACACTAACGGGGAAACAAGTACACAACATTAACGGGGAAACAAGTACACGACACAAACGGGGGAACAAGTACACGACACTAACGAGGAAACAAGTACACAACACTAACGAGGAAACAAGTACACAACACAAACGAGGAAACAAGTACACAACACTTACAAGGAAACAAGTACACAATACTAACGAGGAAACAAGTACACGACACTAACAAGGAAACAAGTACACAACACTTACAAGGAAACAAGTACACAACACTAACGAGGAAACAAGTACACGACACTAACGAGGAAACAAGTACACAACACTAACGAGGAAACAAGTACACAACACTAACGAGGAAACAAGTACACAACACTAACGAGGAAACAAGTACACAACACTAACGAGGAAACAAGTACACAACACTAACGAGGAAACAAGTATACAACACTAACGAGGAAACAAGTATACAACACAAACGAGGAAACAAGTACACAACATTTACAAGGAAACAAGTACACAACACTAACGAGGAAACAAGTATACAGCATTAACGAGGCAACAAGTACACAACATTTACAAGGAAACAAGTACACAACACTAACGAGGAAACAAGTACACAACACTTACAAGGAAACAAGTACACAACACTAACGAGGAAACAAGTATACAACACTTACAAGGAAACAAGTACACAACACAAACGAGGAAACAAGTACACAACACAAACGAGGAAACAAGTATACAACACTAACGAGGAAACAAGTACACAACACAAACGAGGAAACAAGTACACAACACTTACAAGGAAACAAGTACACAACACAAACGAGGAAACAAGTACACAACACTAACGAGGAAACAAGTACACAACACTAACGAGGATACATATACACAATCGATGGCATCACAGAAAAATATATTTAAGATATTCTCTCCAATGCGAGGTACTTCATGACATAGAGTCATTGCTAAAAGTACTTTTTTAACGTCGATATGACATATATGATCTGCAATATGAAGGCCAAGGTCATCATAGCAATTATCGTCATAGCAAAGGTATTTCTCACATCCTGTTTCCCTGAGTGTTCATCATCGGAGACTTTATCTGTTAAAGTGAGACAATGACAGCTTCTCTGAACCACGTGACCTTGTCATATTTATGGAGTTCAGAATAATGTGTACCGGTTTCCGTTGCAGATACTGTATAAAACTACGTCAGACAAAATGGACTATTGCGTGTTGTGTATTTCTGTCGTCCTACTGGTGGCTGACGTCACGGCTCACTCTTTATTCATGCTCTCTAGTGACCCGGGACAGATACGTCAAAAAGTCCGAACCATCTACCACACACATAAACAGGAAATGTCAAGACTACCAGTACAGGTACCAGGTAAATATCCAAGGTATATCGAACGTCACAAAACGTCATCATAAATTTACGTTAATAATGATCTGCCAATCACCAGATACCAAGTGTGCCGCTCGGAATTACTCATACTTACACGACTCATAAATATACTCCGCTTTCTCGAAACCCTCTTGGTTATATTTGTACAAAGACAAATAACTATTACATTCAAGATTTCGTAGTTCTCGAATTCTTTATAAAGTATACCGGCATATATATATATATGTACATATAGTGAAAATGTGATGAATTCATATATATATATTTAAAGAGATTTTAAATCTTAAGGCGAAGACTCGCCTTTCACCAATGCACTAAACACACCTCACTCGCTATTCGCATAAAAACTTCCTTTTAAAGTTTAAACTGAAAAATAAATTTTATGTAAAACGACGATCATAATTTCTAAAATCAAAGTCTACATTGTCCCTTATCATAGATAAACAATAATTTTTATATATGAATTATTTTAGTCTTGCGATCATCATCCATCCGTCCTAATTTCCACGAGCAATTCGTGTTACCAAGCCGTGAGAGGATGGTCCGAGAACAGACCCGCCTAGCTGATCTATCACTGGGAGCCATCAAGCGGATATGTACCAGGTACAATATGAAACAGACTATACTTATGCAATTGAATTGTATTCAAGCAGTATGGAATAATAGTTCTTTCACCTTGAGAGAAAAATCTCAATCCAAGGGATAAGATTATGAAATATTTATGAAAGCCTTGGGTTCGTACTTTGTCTATCACACCACGTGATCACACAAAGGTTGGGGAATCATTTTCCTCCAGTCCCTCTTTTAATTCATAAGGAGTCGTTTGAAAGTTTCAATAAATTTGAATCCAAAGCGTGCTTTGAGGTTAATCCACGTGTGGAATGATAAATCCGCCTACTTTGGACAAAATAGATATTATCTACTGTGAAATACGTCGATAAATGTCCACATTTTTTATACGTGTCACCTGTCCACACATTTTCTACGTGTCACCTGTCCACACATTTTATACGTGTCACCTGTCCACACATTTTATACATGTCACCTGTCCACACATTTTATACGTGTCACCTGTCCACACATTTTATACGTGTCACATGTCCACACATTTTATACGTGTCACCTGTCCACACATTTTATACGTGTCACCTGTCCACACATTTTATACGTGTCACATGTCCACACATTTTATACGTGTCACCTGTCCACACATTTTATACGTGTCACATGTCCACACATTTTATACGTGTCACATGTCCACACATTTTATACGTGTCACCCGTCCACACATTTTATACATGTCACCCGTCCACACATTTTATACGTGTCACATGTCCACACATTTTATACGTGTCACCTGTCCACACATTTTATACGTTTCACCCGTCCACACATTTTATACGTGTCACCCGTCCACACATTTTATACGTGTCACCTGTCCACACATTTTATACGTGTCACATGTCCACACCTGTCCACACATTTTATACGTGTTATCTGTCCACACATTTTATACGTGTCACATGTCCACACATTTTATACGTGTCACCTGTCCACACATTTTATACGTGTCACCTGTCCACACATTTTATACGTGTCACATGTCCACACATTTTATACGTGTCACCCGTCCACACATTTTATACGTGTCACATGTCCACACATTTTATACGTGTCACCTGTCCACACATTTTATACGTGTCACATGTCCACACATTTTATACGTGTCACCCTTCCACACATTTTATACGTGTCACATGTCCACACATTTTATACGTGTCACCCGTCCACACATTTTATACGTGTCACATGTCCACACATTTTATACGTGTCACCCGTCCACACATTTTATACGTGTCACCCGTCCACACATTTTATACGTGTCACCTGTCCACACATTTTATACGTGTTATCTGTCCACACATTTTATACGTGTCACCTGTCCACACATTTTATACGTGTCACCTGTCCACACATTTTATACGTGTCACCCGTCCACACATTTTATACGTGTCACATGTCCACACATTTTATACGTGTCACCTGTCCACACATTTTATACGTGTCACATGTCCACACATTTTATACGTGTTATCTGTCCACACATTTTATACGTGTCTGTCCACACATTTTATACGTCATTTTATACGTGTCACATGTCCACACATTTTATACGTGTCACATGTCCACACATTTTATACGTGTCACCTGTCCACACATTTTATACGTGTCACATGTCCACACATTTTATACGTGTCACATGTCCACACATTTTATACGTGTCACATGTCCACACATTTTATACGTGTCACATGTCCACACATTTTATACGTGTCACATGTCCACACATTTAATCGTGGACACAGGAAATTTCGTCTTGGTAAAACATGCGACATTCTGTACGATGTTGGAATACATATATATATATATGTACATATGTATATGTATATATCTACAAAACGGACATTGTTCGCTACAAATGACTGTAAACAATTGGCTATTCTTAATATCTAGACTTGAAACAGATATCTTAAGTCCTAAGTAATGTTCTTTATATGAATAATATAAAACTTCTATCCCGATATCTCATATAACGGACAATTTACAGGAATGTTTTTGATACAAAACGATCGACGGTAATGTTTTCTCGGCTTTTTTGTTTAGTACCGGAAGTACAGTATACGAGTTGCTCGATAAACCTAATTGGCAGGAGGCATTGAGAACTCAATTCGGCGAGGACTGTCAGGATCTGAGTGCAAACCTTACGTGCAACCATCTAAGTCGTTTCCGCACCATAGACGCCTCATGCAACAATTTGTTACGTCCTACGTGGGGAATGGCAGGAAGGCAGCAAAAACGCTACTTACGACCCATGTACCAGGACGGTAAGATATTCATCACCGATTTCATAAAACGTAGACACAAACAATGCTGATGATTTCGGGTCTATAATTGACAGTTTTTAATTCAATTTAATCTGATACTATTGATATACATTAGTAATTGTCATTTGTACTGCAATTTGGCTTTTACTTTATAGTAAATCGACAGATGGACTTTATTTGGAACCCCTGTCCCCATCCCTAAAGTAATTTCAAGGAGGTTAAAAACCTGATCGAATGATTCCATGGGGATAAGTTTCTAGTATTTTTTTATAACTGGCAGTGGAAAACATGTGTACGTTTTATATTGAAAGGTATAAGTTCTCCCCGCCGTGTGGGGAAGGATGGACTGCCCCTCCCCAGCGCTCGACTGGTCAGTAACATCGTCCACAGCCCCCGAGGGTTTGGTCGCCAGGACTGCTCCCTGTCGGCGATGGTCATGCAGTGGGGACAGTTCCTCGACCACGATATTGTCGGTACGCCTGTCCTCAAAAGTAAGTGCCAACTACAACAGAGTTCAAATTTAAGTATCCAAGAGTGAATCGCTATTAGTGACCATTTAGCAAACTATATCTCTGCGAGCCAAGGGTGGTCAGTAAGATACCTAGATAGTGGCGTAACAATAATGTATGCTTGTGTTCTTAGCATAAACTCAAATTCTATTGAGATATCTACTCGTACTTTTGTTCTTACTTCTAAAATCGTGTTGCTTTGCTCAATAAATATGTATATATACATGTATGTATACACATACATCAAAAACTCAATAAATATGCATATACATGTACGTGTATTATATAACATCTAACTATCATTTTCTTTTCCCTATGTAGTACAAATTTTGAATATTTAGCCCTTTAAAAGTCGTTCGTACCCGTTACACTACCAAAATTACCGATTTTTTAAACGTTAACCGGATATGTGGATCTGCTTGGGGTGACAAGACCATTTAGGAAGACCTCCCTTTTTGATACTATGTCTAGTGACACATCTCAAGGCAAATCCAAGTACGAACCTCCTTATTATGGTGTCAACTTCATTTCAGAAAACGAACTGAAGGATGACAGTGTTCGTTGTTCGCCTTTGACGACAAAGTTGGACACTGCTGGTGTAAATAGAATAGATATTTCTAATTAGCTAAAAACCGACAGCTGCAGGGGCTTTCGCACCTAAAAATCCCACTGGCGAACGCCTCCTGCGGTGTAACTAATGAGTTTCCGGCGAGTGTCATGGGAGTGTGCTGGATGTGTCACGGGAGTGTGCTGAATGTGTCACGGAAGTGTGCTGGGTGTGTCTCGGGAGTTTGGTGGGTGTGTCATGGGAGTGTGCTAGGTGTGTGCTGGGTGTTTCATGGGAGTGTGCTGTGTGTGTCCTGGGAGTGTGCTGGGTGTGTCATGGGAGTGTGCTGGGTGTGTCATGGGAGAGTGCTGGGTGTGTCATTGGAGTGTGCTGGGTGTGTCCTGGGACATATTTAGCGCCTATATATCATTTATATTACACACTTTACACCATTGTTATTGCGGTTTTTGCATTTTGAAGTTACCGCGGATCGTGCACAACTAGCACTACACTGAGCTACCACTAGGACTGAGTGTCCTGCGAGGTTTTCACATGCCGCCATTTGATTGATTAAGATTTCGTAATTATTGTTTTTGTATTATAAACTTTCATCAAATGACTACCAACAGGCTAAAATCATTCTAACTGACCAACTGAAAAGTATCTGAAAGCACCGTTAAAGTTACATGTACACATGCAGTACACTGAACTGTCATGGAGGAGTATGACAGGAATGACTCTCTTGTAAGTGTCCTCAAACATGTTTAGCGTCCAGCAGTTCATAATCAATACATTTTTATATTTTTTTCTCTCGAAAGCATACACTATTAAGAAAAACATTGCTATGCCACTGCTACATCACCCAGAAATTTCGAGGACGAAAATGTATAAAGACAGTTCTAGCCAAGACAGCAGTTGCTGTGACAATCTAGAATACTTAGGATGTCCTTGGAATTTTCCTATTATTGTTATACGACACTATGTTTACTACTGCTATCCACTGTTGTATAATGTAACGCTTAACGATTCACGGAATCAATGTATAAGCTATTGATATTTGTACTAAAGACAATAGAGGTGTACTTAAACAACCAGCGGCTTATAATAAAAAAAATCCAATTCCATATATGATATACCTTGTTTATGATCGCCTTCATAGTCACTCAAATGTTTTAATTTCAGAAGACAATGGATCATCATACGAGTGCTGTGGGGCGGATTCATCATTGTAAGTCTACATCCAAAAGTTATGAAAAAAAAATATCAAAACGCAGTGCATGATTTTCATGAAAAAAGGAAAGCTGTTATATATGAAATCTGAACATTTAACAAACAAACACGTATTTTATTACTATAAACTTTGTAGCCTGGGGTGGGTTAATAAACAACCACAGGAATGAGTTCCTTTGAACCCCCTCCCACACACACCCCAAAATGACCACCAGTAGGCTATAATAAGTATCTAAAAGGGTTTATTTTAAGGGGTACCAAGAAAAATTGGGGCATGGTCTTAAAATCAACCCTTTCAGACACTTATTTACCAGGTATAATAACCCATTGGTAGCCACTTTGGGTGGGGGGTTCAAAAGGAACTCTTACCCAACCACAAGGTCTGGTGGTACACATATATGTTAATTAAGGGATCAAACCGGGAACAAACCTGTAAAAAGACGAAAACACACAATCACACTGACAAACGTACTATAAAAAAAGATACGGAAACGCGGAACTGGCAGCGGTATGCTATCCGGGACCCAGGGGCTTTTATACGGTTATAACCGGTGGCGGGAATTCTAAGTGAAATGTTCGTGCAGTGAAGTCATTGCCGATTGGTCAACTGTCCAGTGTCCAGTCGAGTCAACAACATAAAAGACATGCCCACAGACATTTATGAAACGGGACATATACAAAGGCATATAGCGCTGTGTTTGACGTCACACGTAGCTACACACCTAGGTATACACTGTACCCGTGCGGTACTCGAACATATACAACTTTAAACATAATTTTTCAGTGAAGGATGTTTCCCAGTGCAGATCCCACCTAATGACGACCATTTTGAAGGGACGTGTATGAATATGGTAAGGTCCGCACCAGCAGTAGGACCGAATTGTGTTATAGGTATGTGAATACAGGACGTGTGTAACTATGGTAAGATGCAAATCATAGAATTATTGTTGATAACTACTAAAGAGCTTCTCCCGCCAAAAAGTGACATTTTAATTGCGTTCTTTATACAGCCATATTACCGCAGCCAAGCTTTGTCAGCCTCGAAGACGTCGATCTGAATGCAAATGCTAAAACTGTAAAAATAGACAGGACCATGGCAGTGGTAACCTGTAGACAACGTCAACATGTCATAGTTTGATTTTGCAGGTGTACGAGAACAAATGAATAAAGTGACTTCATACATAGACGCCTCGGCAGTGTATGGCTCTTCATGGGAGGAAGAGGACTACTTGAGAGCCAAGACCAGAGGTATGCATGATCAGACAAATTCATAGAAAAAATTGTTTTTACCAAAACAGCGAGAGCATGTATTGAGTTGTAAGGTATTCTAGCTTTATTTGTGTGGACGGAAAGCAATTTAAAGATTTGTTTGACTTCGTTATATCAAAAACTTTGTAAATACCCGCCAATTTAGTGTACAGAAAAGAAAAACTGGGTATTGGTGTCCTGCCGGATCAAATGTCTCGTTCTGTTTGCTTCCATGTCGGATCAAATGTCTCGTTCTGTTTGCTTCCATGTCGGATCAAATGTCTCGTTCTGTTTGCTTCCCTGCCGGATCAAATGTCTCGTTCTGTTTGCTTCCATGTCGGATCAAATGTCTCGTTCTGTTTGCTTCCATGTCGGATCAAATGTCTCGTCTTGTTTGCTTCCCTGCCGGATCAAATGTCTCGTTCTGTTTGCTTCCATGTCGGATCAAATATCTCGTTCTGTTTGCTTCCATGTCGGATCAAATGTCTCGTCTTGTGTTGCTTCCATGCCGGATCAAATATCTCGTCTTGTTTTGCTTCCCAGTCCGATCAAATGTTTCTTCCGGTTTGCAGGATTCATATCCTTCTACTTGTGCGATGTCTCCTCTCATCCTGTTTTCGCCGATGTCATCATTGTTGTTTTATTTTGACTTATTTCTGTTATGTTTAATCAATTAGGATTGCTAAAGGAAGGCGATAACCGACTGCTGCCACCTAGCGGCAAAGACAATTGTATAAAGAGGACTGAAGCTGACGTGTGTATGACTGCAGGTATAACATCATTCTTAATACTTAGTGACTACAATTAGGAATAAAATAGGATCTTTTCAGTTATATCAGATATTTATTTTTCTGCACGTAAGAGTATCTTTGCCACATTTGCAAATTTTTCACACGTTTTATCAACTCCATTAACCAATGTGATTTTCTTTGATAAATGGATGAGTTCACAAGTTGATATCTACTGGTCTGGAGAGATGATGGTTGATTTAAGTTGTCACGATGATGATTGTGTACGAAGTGTAGACCGATTTCCTCTGCCAATCATTGTATTACAGGTGATGATCGTCCGAATGTTGTGCCTTCGTTAGGAGCCATTCATACTTTGTTTATGAGAGAACACAACCGAATAGCCGCCATGCTTGGAGTTCTCAACCGGTTCTGGAGCGACGAGCGGATTTATCAGGAAACACGTAAGATTATGTCAGCCTTGTTGCAACACATAACATATAACGAATATCTGCCTCTGATACTCGGTAAGGGAATCATGGAGTATTACGACATTCTACCAAAGACAGAATTCTTCGAAACAAGCGTGTACAATATGTCGACAAATGCCGGAATAGCCAATGTCTTTGCCGTGGCAGCGTTTAGATTTGGTCATTCACAGATTCCTTCCATTCAAACTTTTCTTGGACCTAAAGAAACTTACCGTCATGACTTCCGGATCGAGTCTACATACCATAGGCCCTACTTTGCACAATTTAACAGCGGGCAGGGAGTGGAGGACGTGCTGAGATGGCTAATTAAAGACCCTCAACCGGAAACAAACAGGTAGTTAGCATTTATGATAAAGACCCAATAGAAAAAAAAAACAAAAAACAAAACAAACAAAACAAACAATCAAACAAAAAACCAACAAGAAAACAAAACAAGAAAAAAAAAACAAGAAAAAAACAAGAAAATACCACCTTGTTAACATAACCATTCTCCAAACACAAATTCAGTAAAAGTTGTGCAAAATGTGAACAAAAGAAAAAAATTACACGCAGACCTTTGGAAGAGTACAAGAAGAATAAGACCAGGTGTTCTGGTAGTGTAAGCGTCTTCTGCTTCATCGACGGCACCCGCCATGTAAATCTTGGTAATTCCAAGTAAGTAATGTCACGCTCTCAAATGAGAACAAACACCAAACACACGTCCAGCTTCATAGAGCGCAAAGAAATAGAACATACTCAATGAGATCACTCTGGCGACCCTAAAACTTCCGCGTACTTTTCTTCAACCTGCATCTTTTGAAATCATGTGTTACGATTTTTTTCATTGGCGTTGTTCTCAAAATTATATAAAAACTATGAAATTTATTGAAATTTTGAGCTAATGCACGTTTCTTTTTCTTTTTTGTCTTTTCTTTCAATCGCTGGATATTCCTCGGTCGCCAGACGTTAAATTCTGGGCTCTTGGCACCACTGACAAGTCGTAGAAAAACGAAACAATTGTATGATGCAGTTCAATTTATTGTTATTTGGCTCTAATGTGTATTTTTTTTTATTTTCTCATTCAAATATGCTATTCTCTAGTGTATCTTTTGTATAACTTTGAATCCAGCGCATCCTAATCCAGATCTACAGAGCAATGCCTAAATAGACTTTGTGTGTTTCCGTTCTTTGGGTAACATGTGTCGTGTATACTGTTTGCAGAGCTTTTGTCCGTGGAGTTCGGGACCAGTTATTCCTACAGAACAATGTCAGTCTTGACCTGGCGGCTATCAACATCCAGAGAGGACGTGACCATGGCGTAGCGCCGTACAATTCTTGGCGGAGATGGTGTGGCCTGGGCCGGGCTCGTCATTTCGGGCTTGGGCCAGACGGACTTGTTCACCATGATCAGGCATCAGCCAGACTTCTGCAGCGGACTTACCGGTACAGGACTAGGAAAGAAATATTTTGTCTAAGATGACGAACTTATGATAACTAGTTCAGGTTTTAAACATTGTTGATGCTATCCTGCAGAGTTCATTCAATGACATTTCTATTAAGCGCGATATTATGATTCGGAGAAAAATGTGAAATTCAAAAGAATCAGAAATGTTTTAAGAAAAAATCCACCAATCCCAATACATGTGTTAAAATCAAGAAGGAAAATTTATTTTACTTTATCTCACATGGTCCAAAGGACCGTTGAGCTTATACCATGGCGCTGTTTCCGTCGTCTGTCGCCCGTCAACCTCTCACTATATCGCTACCAGTCATGCACGACTGACCAAATCTGGTCTGAAGCATTCTTTGGAAAGGAAAATTAAGTTTGTATAATTGATGGTTCCCGAATCCAAGGTGCCAGAGGTGCGGGACCCAGAAGAGGTTCTTTAAAAACTTTCTTCAGGTATAATTTGATTTTGTCCAACTTTGGTGTGGATCATTCCTGGAAGAAGAGTATTTTGTGTTAGGATTCAGTCCCCATGGGGCGGGAGAGTCAATGTGGAAAAAAGAAAAAAAATCTTTTTTGAAATCCTTCTTCTGTAGGAATGCCTGAATTATATTCCAATTCGGTCTGAAGCATGATTAGGTAAAGGGGAATCAATTTTATATATACCGTAGGTCTCGACACCCTGAGGGCGTAAGGAGCGAGTCCCGACCGATAGAGCAAATCCTTCTTCTTCTTTATATTAGGGAAACCTATTGTTTTCACATTAAAAAAACATCAAAACATCAAAGAAAGTAATGTAATGCAAAATGATTTTATATGTAATATCGTGAAGACGATATTTTTTTCCGAATACTTTTGCGAGTTTCCCAAATTGATGCCATCCGGTATGTGTAAAGTAGTATCGACAAAATAGGTTTTTGTTTCGGATGAACGTTTCCATGCTTTATGAATGGGCAAATTATTTGCAAAATGGTAACCAATATAAACTGATTACTTTTGTTTGTCCTGATAGTCGCGGGCTTGAAGTTTTGAAGTAGTTATGTTAATCAGAGTAAACTTTACCATCCTCCTTGTGACGCAGCTGCTGATTAGTTTAAATCTGATGACTATGTACTGTTGACTAAATTGTCTATTTCTATGCCCCTGGATCGAATGACTGGGAGCATATTGTCTTTGTGCTGTCTGTTTTTCTGCTGTCAACTTTAACCTTGCCCGTACTTATTGCACTGCAGGAGGTAGGACATTCATATTTTGCATGTCTATTCCTCGTGACAAGATGTTTCCGGTGGTGCCTTTTTTTTTTTACCTTGACTGTGACCTTTGACCTATATTTGAAAAATTGTACAATTAGCTATAACTATTGCATCATATTTGGTATGTGTGTTCTTTGTGACAATACCTTTCGCTGATACCAAAGTCTTCACCATGTGACCTTATCCGTGACCTTTGACCTACATTTCAGAGTAAAATAATTCATTACCACAATGAAGACACGTGCTTCACAAAGTGTGCATGCAATTAGCACATGCCTTACACAGTACATGCTCAATGTCCCACTTCAGAATTTTGTTGCAGCCGGGGACATAGTGTTTCATAAATAAATCTTGTTTCTTCTGTAATTGGCTAGAACTATATCATTTACAGTGATCCGGACGATATAGATGTGTTAACTGGTGCCATATCGGAACGTCATCTGAAAGGGGCTAGTGTAGGTCCAACCTTCGCCTGCATCATAGGCTACCAGTTCCGGGAACTTAAAGTCGGGGACAGATTCTGGTACGAGAGGGCACATCCCATCACCGGCTTCACGGAGAGTAAGTCATGTCCACGTTAGCAAATTGACGAACCAAATGAGTAAAGAAGAGAAAAGAAATGAAAATTTCCTGCAATATCTTAAAAAGGAAAAAATGGTAATTTCGATGTGCGTACATTATAAGTATGTCATTTGAATTATTTTGGTCTGGGTTATTTGGTAAATCCGTTAATGTTAAAGTTCGAGTAAATCCGTTAATGTTCGGGGATATTCGTTAATGTTCGAAAATATTCGTTAATTTAGTGATATAACCATTGTAATCTGTCAATATTCGATAACAAAGTTAACATCAACACCCAAATAGTAAGCGATCTCACCACATCAACTCGACCCAAATTTATGTTAAAATCATTTACTTTTCATTTTTGAAAATTGTTTTCATTAACAGGACAGTTGAGGTCGATAAAGCAAATGCGGCTATCAAAAATTCTGTGTGAGAATTTTAATATCACACCATTACAGAAGAATGTGTTCCTACTCCCAAACATCAAGTAAGTGATTGGTGTCGAAGCTAAGTAAAGACCCGGTATAACTGGTGCCAGACTACATTTTGATTCTGTTAATTTAATAAGCTTACATAGATATACACGTCGCCAGAAGACTAACACTCGTTGGCGAGACAACGCCCATAGCTAGGACGAGTCAATGAGATGAAAAATTCTGTAACCAACCAACCAATTGAAAATTGCCGAACTTTGGCTTTTTGTTATAGTTTTGATCTTGATTGGAACAAGATTTTCTATTGGTTGATCGTCACATAACATAATTAATGACGTCATTATTTGATAGCGCAAGAAGAGGTGGTAATTATTTATCAGTGTAAATAATCCGTAAAACGAAAGTTTAAAAAAATTTTATTGTGATAAAGTCAATTGCGTCATAAGATTTATTAGGTATCTCCACTATTAAAAGTACTTGTAAGTTTTGCTGATTGATTTTAGGGACAAACCCAGACGCCAGGTGCCATGTCACTCACTTCCAGATCTCGACATTCGCGCTTGGCAGGACTACAGCTACGTGGAGGGCTCATCAAATGGACAGTAATTGTCTCCACATAAAATATGTCTGTCAGCATTCCATGGTTCATGGACGTCAATAGTATGGAAATGTAAGACCACTTTAGACTGTTAGGAAATTAAGTGTGTTTTATTAGCACATTTAGGCTGTGTGGACATGCCATTAAAAGAACAATAACCGGGAGTACTTATGTTTTATTGGAAGAAATTTACTACTTCCTGATCGATGTAAATCCATTACTATTAACTGAAATACAGGAAGTGAGGACAGATTTCACAACGAGTGCCTTTTTGATGGGATTGATGATGTGTGTTCGTCATTCAAGCTGGCAAGTTTTGAATTCTAATTGAGAGATACACTGTAGCTATTCCAAGGAGGATGGTCAGAGATGATGGTGGCCTCTATTTAGTCTATTTATAGCCACAGATGATGGTGACCTCTATATAGTCTATTTATAGATTTTAGATTCGGCAGAATCACTTTCTGAATTTACCTGAATATTATGTTTAGAAATATAGATAGTTGTATAAATAAGCGCTTTTACATTTTGTAATGAACCAGTAGTTTGTTAAAATTCATAAATTCGCTGATATATTCTTTGAAGCTTGGACTATATCTCCGCGCAGAGCAATTATTTTGGCGTCCGCTATCAGACAAAATTCAGCGTAACGTCCACGTCAGGTTAACACAGATTAAACAACAAAACTGTTTCGATAGTATGATGTTCAGTCAATGTTGCAGGATAAATAGGATACGTGGTCAGTCTCTTAAAATATAAGCTGCATCTTGGCTCGGGACAGAGACAAAAGTAGTTCTCCGAAGGTTCGCCAACATGTGTGTGTTGAGCCAGTGAGCGACCTCACACGACACTTTGTCCTCGCCCTGGTCATATCTTTGTCCATATCGTCAACATTACACCTACAGGAAGTAATTAAAGTTCCATGATAAGGTCACTATCATGGTAATTTGGACAGTTTATGTATATGATAAGGCAATATATTTTATTATACAACCGATCCTGTGTTTTTTACCACAAACCATCGTCTGGTGAGTTTCTGACGGTCATTATAATGTAACATCGTCATTGTGTTTTTTTTAAAAACAATATATTATTTACTTACACTTCTGACATGTAGTGTACATGCCATTTTCAAAGAATAACACTTGTACATGTACGAGCAAAAAGGAGCAGTGAAATGTTGTTACGACATTGATTTCAGAAATTATTTTTCTGTATTTCTCCATATGACTCTAAAATAAATTTTACAAAAATCCACAGTTCATGTATCCAACTTAATGTAAATGAAAGTACGTTTACCAAAGCAGGTAACACAGGCCCATTGCAATAATTCTTAACATGATGAATTAAAACTCCTCAAATACTGAAGCCTCGTTACGACAGCGCGTGTAATTCTAAGCATGTGTTGTATATCTGGTCTAAATATCCTAGATAATCGGAAACTGTTGTTTGATATTTGTTTTTGCTGTTGATTTTAGACGGACAAAGAAAACTTTTCCACAACACAGTCGCTGAAGGAGGAAAGTGTAGATGGGGGTTTGGGGTGATTTTGGTATGGCTTTTCTTTAAATCTGGTGTTATCATTTTTTAAATAATTTTTATAATCTAAAATTCATATAAATTTTTAATGGGTATCAAAAACTATATATATATTTTTTAAACAGGGAGTAAGCGAAAGATAATTAAGTAAGATTTCGGAATTATCTGGGATGTTTAAATCCATTTATCAGACTTACTCGCTGTATCCCAGCAACGTGTCGAGAGGAGCTTTAAGAGAAATGTGCAACGTTATATTTTGACTTCATAGCTAATCTAGAAAGAGTAATGTCACGAAACAACACGCTAGGATATATTACATACAGAGATGTGTTTGCTGTGACAAAATGGTGGGCTATTCAGGTCAAACGTATCTGTGTATTGTTTGATATATGCTACTCCCAAACTGAAATACCAATTAAAAACACTTGAAATATAATGTTTAATTACAACTTCTGTTTATTTACAGCACAAAGCATAGTTCTCTGAGACAATAAAAACTTCACAACCAAATAGTTATGGAGTAACCCATAACATACATATAACATGGAAAAACGCCAGCCGATGGCTTCTGTATACTATTCCTAATCCTCTCAATTACAAACTATCACTTCATTTTCATAAGTATTCAATCACACATGCAGGCATCTTCGATACCTCAGGGGGTAACATGGCAAAATTGAAGACTCGAGCGAAGTAATCTGATTGATTCCAGGAGAAAAATCCCTGACCAATCACAGGCCAAATACTCCTATTGAAGATTACAAAGGAGCGACACCCAACCTTGAAGCCGTTACAATATACCGTTATTCGAACTCGAGATTCGTTCGAAGTACATCAAATGATCAAACTAGTCTTTTCGTCTTGTCCACAACGTATCGCACATCGAAACATGCCAGTCTGCCACGACAGTGAACATAACCCCTGGAGTATCGAGGATGACATTCAGAACAATTGTGGTATATATTATAAATAAGCATACAAATGACATACATTCTTGACACGTACAATAAAATCTTACACAAATTACTAACATTTTGATTAATGTAAAAGGATATACAGAAACACGTCATCCGCAAAAAGGGACACAACTCTCATAAATCCATACATGTGTACGTAGTACAAGGTCGAGGAAATGTCAAATACCGTACATTGTTTGTATCGAATTTGCACCTTGTCCAGTAGTTTAAGTGGGGACAAGAAGGCCTTAAATGCCAAATTTATTAATAAATTTCTGCTTGATCTGGAAATGATTTATATGAAATATTTAAAAACATCAATATGTTGATTCACTTTTATTTAACCGCTTCATGTGTGATAGGAAATATCCATTTTATGATTACCCCTTTTGATGTAAAATAGCAAATATCTTTTTATATATATATTTTCGGGGTGACCTTCTTCCGACAAATTTCCTCTTTGATTGAAATGTAATAGATTGAATACTTTGAAAAGTAGTGTAAATACAAACATTCACACAGAAATTAAGCTTTTTTAGACTTCATATTTTGCTACAAGCGAGAGTATATATCAACGAGTTCACCAAGTGACTCCAATCGATTAGATATACAATTTCGTGTACGCAGGGGAACACTGGGTCTTGTGCAAAATGTCTCCCTTTTTTTCTCTACATGTGTTCAATAACACAAAACAGAATAAGCCTTGATTGAAAAACAAGTACGAAAAAAGTTTCATTACATCAATCGCTCCGCCTAACCCTTTCAGTGTGCAACCACTAAATACAGCAAAGAACGAGGACACACCTAATGCCACACCATAGTGATGAATGCAAATAACATTATTTTCGCATGAAGGTGTTGATACGGGATACCTCGGACTCCTTTTTGAAATATACATTCCAGTCGTCAGATGTGAAGGATTGTATACCGGAATGTACATCGTCCAGATTTCGAGTACATATAGAGAAATCTGGGGTCAAAATATTACCTTGTATTTATACATGGCATTACATACTAGTAGACAAGTGTCTCAGGTTGATAAAAATGTGGGTAAAGTTTTACAGTCGTCATAGTGATCTCATTTCGAGATATTCTATTTCGTTGGTTCTGTTGTTACATATCTTATTATCATTTGAGAACGAGACATTACTTACTTGGATTGGCCAATTGACATGGCGGGTGTCATCGATGAAGCAGAGACACTCTCACCTCCGTAACACCTGGTCTTATTCTCATTGTACTTTGTCTGGAGTCTCCGGGTAAATCTTTCTTTTATTCATTTCTGTCCTAATTTTATTGACTCTGAGTTTGGATTATTCGCAGACATTATTAACAGCATTACCAGAAATCGGTTATCTCAGACGAACTTCCTCAAACTGTTTAGATTCTCGTCTCTATTGGTAGGCAATGTTTAGGGTCAACTATATGGACAGGATGAGGAAATACTCCGTTGATGATATTTCTTATTGATCCTTAGACTTTATGTTTACACGAACAGAAGAAAGTGTACATGTTTAAGATATTTAAGATACCACATATAAGTTTCTTTAACCTTGTTGTCTGGTATACACACCTCGTACCGACACATTGGACCAATTCACTTGAAAGTTTTAGTATATTGTTGGAAAACGTGTTCACTGAACCAGTCCTCAGCCGCTGTAGTATTGTAGACGCTTCACTTCATCACCGAACACCGCCCAGAGGATGAGGCTTCTGTCTATACAGATAGCTTGTGCACTTCTCTCATCTGTGAACACAGTCCTCAGGAATTCTCCTTCACAGCTAACGAGGAGCACTCTGTGATTGTTACAGTCGGCGATGAGAAGATTCCCGGCATTGTCGAAGGTTACATCCCAGGGGTCAAATATGGCTTCTGCTGTTTTTTGGCCCTCTGCTCTGCCTCCTTTGTATCGGAACAACTCTTCAAACTCTTTGTTCATAACAAGAACTTGTTTTGTGTTATACTCGTCATAACTCTGTCTCTCAACTACAGCCAAGTTCTGTGTCAGTCGACATTCTGCTATTTTCTGTGGTAAGCGAACTATGGGTTTTCCAGAAGTTGTAGTCTTGGTGCTGAGGAGCGGTTCCCCTTTCTGTGAGAACTTGGTCACTTTTTGCGACATTCCCACCAAGACGTGATTGGCCGCGGTTACACACAGACAAATGGGTTTGCTCTTACAATTGAATCGCAAATTTGGCACTCCTAATGCGCAATCCATGATGCTGGAATCTGTATCAGAGCAAATCCAAATCTTCTTGGTTCGAGGTGATATACAGACATCTGTAATTCTCACGTTGAATTTTATTTCCCGTCGTATCTCACCTTTCTTGCTCAAAAGTTGGAGACTGTTCGAGTATGAAATCCAAATTTCTTCTTTTTCGGTGGCACATACCTTATTGCCAATTCCTTTAGTATTGAATTTTCCAAGGATGTTTGTCTGGTGTGAGAGGTTGTAGTTCACTTCCTGTCTTTTCGCCATTACCGTACCTGAAGACGATCGGTCCTCCGTCGGTGCACCTGGCTGCAGAGTAGAATCTGGCTGACCTTGGTCATCGGTGGTCAACGTTCCAAATGCTTCTTCCAAATAAGGTTGGTAGTGCGCAGGTGCTTCAAAGACTACTGTATGTAACCTTGGCTTGTCGGGTAAATTCAAAGCGAGGCTTCGAAATGCATGTCCGGTGTCAAAAAGCTCCAGAACGGATGCGTCTTGAAGTTGTGTTTTACATTCGTGTAATTGTTTGCCGAGACCCTCGTAAATATCTGAAAGGCATTTCTTGTAGTCGTTCAGAAGTTGTATGTTATCTTCTTTCAGCCTCCGACATAACGACGAAGATTTTGCGATCAATACATCGATGGCTTGCTTCAGTTTGTCCCCTTGATCTTGAACTGTTGTCTCTAGCTTGTTGAAATAATTCGTGGTATCCGCTTTTAGTTTTTCAACTGATTCAATGCTGTCTTTCATATTTGGCAACCTGTTATTTTCAACTTCGCTGATGAATTTGATCATTTCTATTTTTTGCTGCTCGGCAATGTCACTCAACTCTGTCAAGTCGTGTCCCTTGTGCCGTGAACCCACACATTTCATACATGCCACTTCGCTGCAATTTTCACAAAGGAACGCTATAATCTTTCCGGTATGGTGGATGCACGTATCCTGCCCCCTCCTCCGAACAACGGCTTGAATCGCCGAGGCCATGACGACTGTTTTGCTATTTTTCTTTCAGTAGACTTGATCACTTACAATTTTTGTTTCGTTTTAATGTCCATGTGTGTCTTAGAATCCCCAACAAACACGACAAAGTTCTGAAAATAGAAAGCAACACGATGACCATTCAATCAACTACATCATTGAAAGACCAAGTTTAAAATTGTGGTCATTCTTGTGAGAATATCGATCTTTTTTTTTTCTTTGAGAGTCAACGTTTCGACAATGAAGAGGTATATTATGCTTCAAAGATTTGAATGTCTTAGGACAGAGTTGAATTTTGAGTTTTTTGTTTGGTAGTTAAGACCTTTCTATATATTTCTCTATATATTTATATATATATAGTGAAAATATGGTAAATTCTTCGTGTCCAGAAAACATATAAAAACTTTTTAAAAAAAATGGAAATCACGATGAGCTATGTACACAATGTAAAACATCTGAAGAAGAAAGGCTTTACTGCTCATCGTGTTTTCCAGTTTTTTAAAGTTGATATATATATATATATAATTATATAATTGAATTCAATATCGATATTAATGAGATAACTAGTACACAATACTAATGTCCATCCTGCTCAAACATAAATCCTTCTTCTACACTGTATTGTTGTTTATGAAATCAAAACAGTTGTATTTGTCATCTTAAACCGATTGTTTCATATTTCTATCTATCATTTTAAAGATAATAACATTCAATTTGCATCGTATCAAGACATTTGGCGCCTATCCCCTTCGTACCTGATAGAGAAGAGATCCCCTCTGTATCTGAAAGAGAAAAGACCTCTCCGTATCTGTTAGTAAACAGTTCCTCTCCTTACCTTATAATAAACGGATCCCCTCCGTACCTAATAGTGAAGAGATCCCCTCCGTACCTGATAGAAAAACAGATCTCCTACGTACATGATAGAGAAAAGATCCCTCCGTATCTGATAGAAAACAAATTTCATTCGTACCTTATAGAGAACAGTTCCCTTCCATACCTGAATAGATCCCCTCCGTATTTTATGGTGAACAGATCCCCTCTGTACGTAATAGTAAACAGATATCCTCCGTACCTTATAGTAAACAGATCCCCTCCATACCTGATAGAAAAACAGATCTCCTCCGTACCTGATAATCAATTGATCACCTCCGTATCTGATAGAAAACAAAACTGCTCCGCACTTAATATTAAACAGATTCCCTATGATTTTTATGGTAAACAGATCTCTTCCGTACCTTATAGTGAAGATATCTCCTCCGTACGCAATAGTGAACAGACCCCCTCCGTACCTGATAGCAAACAAATATGTTCCGTACCTGATAGTAAGCAAATCTGTTCCGTACATGATATTGAAGAGATCCACTCCGTACCTAATAGTGAACAGATCCCCTCTATACCTGATAGAAAGCAGATCTGTTCCATACCAAACAGTGAACAGATCCCCTCCGTACCTTATAGAGAACAGTTCCCTTCCATACCTGATAGTATACAGATCTCCTCCGTACCTTAAAGTGGACAGATCCCCTCCATACCTGATAGAAAACAGATCCCCTCCGTACCTTATAGTGAATATATCCCCTCCATACCTGATAGAAAACAGATCATCTCCATATCTTACAGTGAACAGATCCCCTCCATTTCTTATAGTGAACAGATTCCCTCCGTAACTTATAGTGAACAGATCCCCTCCGTTCGTAAAAGTAAACAGATCCACTCCGTATCTTATAGTGAACAGATCCCCTCCGTGCGTAATAGTAAACAGATCCCCTCCGTTTCTTATAGTGAACAGATCCCTCCGTAGCTTATAGTGAACAGATCCCCTCCGTTCGTAAAAGTAAACAGATCCCCTCCGTATCTTATAGTGAACAGATCCCCTCCGTACGTAATAGTAAACAGATCTCCTCCATACCTTATAAGGAACAGATCCCCTCCGTATCTTATAGTAAACAGATCCCCTCCGTACGTAATAGTAAACAGATCTCCTCCGTACCTTATAAGGAACAGATCCCCTCCATACCTGATAGAAAACAGATCTCCTCTGTACCTAATAGTAAACAAATCTTCATACCTGATTTGTGCGTACAGAATAAACCATTTTCATATAATCGTGCACACGTGAAATGATATCAGTCACCGTGTAATTTGTTCATGTTTTAACATCACCATCACCATCATCTACAATTTTGTTTCCGAATTCACCAAGGAAAATATCATGAAATTTTCTGTTTGGTGATGCTATTTCAAATAAAATGTTTCTTATACTGAGGTGGAAATCCTCATCGCATTTCTCTTACTTTCGGTTTCCATATCCGAACTATTGTGAACAACCCGCGGAAATTTTATTATTCTTATTGGTAAATTGTGTCGTTTAGATGATTTCCTTATTTCACATCATTACCAAAATAGTCATAGAAAGCAACATTGAAAAGTTTTACGTGGGAACACATTGATTCTCAATCTACTTTCGTTTTAGGTTAACGTACAACGGTGTTTGATTTCGTAGAGGAAAATCATTGTTTATCACACAAAACCACAAAAATTTAATATCATTATATAGATATTTATTAATCAATAGTATCCTGAAATATTTCATTCAAATCCAAGAAGTTTTAAAAGGTACGTATCACACAGCAATATATAACAATACCTAGACAATGATATCCAAACAGAGACAAAATGTATACACATTATACATGGTACACAGTGTAGTAACATTTGAAATTCGATCGGTAGTCAATCGTTCGGGGGTTTTACACACCGTATATACGAGAAGAAAGAGAAAGAAACCCACAAAACTTACCTTTATCACTTTATCTCTGCATTTTGCCGTATACGGAAGAAGCCATGACACGCCAGGTTCACGGCCGGAATAACAACTGACGAGATTATCGATCGATGTACGAAGCAAGGTAGCGACATACAGGGTATCCAAAGAGAAGCCGTTATTTAACATAACAGAATGAATGAATTCAAAACGAAAAAATAATCATTTAACCAAAGTAGCCCCCTTCATCCCCTCCCCCACCCCACCCCTAAAAGAAACCGTCCCAACAGGACACCATGGGTTATCATATATAGTACAAAAGATAAAATCGTAATTTTTTGTAAGGAATTTATAATTTTTGAAAACAATGAAAGCTCAGTCAAATGAAAAACATGATTTCACATAAAAATCCAAGTATCATAACATCGCCGTTTTGTGACACTCGTTGTGGATTTAATAAGAAATTACATGCAAGAAAAGACTTTAAAATGTTGAGAGGTCTGATAGTGAGTTTTCAAGACCCTGTGGTTTGGTGGTAATCCTAACCCCAATGATAATCTCAAGAAATGACAGCGGTTAAAAATAGCCTCTGTTTAATTAAGATTCTGATGAATGATATGTTAAATATTGATAGCGTTCCGAGCAGTTTGTATTAAGGAGTTATTATCACTCTCGACTCTTAAGACATTTGCTTTGTTTACATGAATTTTATTTCAACATTTAAATTTTGTCCGTAGATTTCTTCTTTCGGGTTTTGACCGATCTCTTTAAATTTGGCTATAGTTTTTTTTTCATCTTGAAAATTTTAGAAGTTGTTGTCCTTCGTTCTTTCGAATTCTAATTTCGTCAAATTTTGCTAAATTGGCGACACTTTGATCACGCCATCATTGCTTCATTTTTATGGTGTATAACAAAAATTTCGCTCCGCCCAGTAGTACTTTTCTTACCTACGGTGATATCTCAATGCATCTGTGCTGTTGCTATATAGAAAGAGACAGTGTGTCAGGTTAGAGACAGAAGGGTTGCTAGCTCGAACCCCAGCTGGGTATATTTTTCCAATACATATTCCCTATTACAGCTTGACTATGCTCTCTAGTTTATATATATATATATATTTGTATCGGGATATTCTTTTCTAATATTTCAATTATATTTGGTAATATCACGAACTTTCTATATTGCAGTTCCTGGTATTACTATTTGAAATATATTACCTTCGTTTTATAGAGTCGGAGTTCCGGTCTTGTTTACACAAATTGTTTTCGTTTTAAATCTCTCTTGTTTTCCAGCTGGTTGAATCTGTACCTCACTGGGAGCCTATTAAGATTGCTTAATTCCGCTTCACGTACAGTGGAGGTACGGTGGTTTGTCTATCCAGATTCTAACATATGTTTTTGGCAGAGTTTTTATTTACATTAGTACTTACTACTCCTTGAACGGAAAAATATGTATTCTTAATCATGATGTATCACTTTTTATGGAAAATTTCAAATTGTGGATATGTTTTCTTAGATTTTCTCTTTACTTAGGGATCAATCTAGGATACCGGAGAAAGTACTTTTTGTGACTAGGGGAAACAGCCTGGGTTTCAAAGGACTACAAGCAAAAGCCTTCTGGGCTGAAACCAGTGGATAGGTTTTCAGAACTTATGATTGGCAGTACAAAAATATGTGGAACAATGTAAGATTCTTTATAAGCCAGAAAATATACAATATCCATCAAATTCTACTCAAAAACAATAAAAAGATAAAAAGAGCATTTTATGTTGAAATGGGGAAATTCAAACAGAAAATCGATAATTTATGTAAAATAGGGGTATATATTGCAAAATTCAAGGGGAACATTTTGAAAGAGAGGAATTTTAGCATCTAGGGGAGATTATCCAATCAGTACTCTAGATTGATCCCTGTAGTACTTGTGTAACAAACAAGTTAATTAACCACTATCTTGTGGCAGCTTTCGGAATGGACCAAGATGTATGTAACATTTATATCTACAATACAAACTTAACAAAAACTGAGAAATGTTGGAATAAATAATTTTATTGGCCCTGTAACAGGTACCTGTATAACAAATCAGTAACAAGGAATGAAGATATTACATTGAGATCTGATTAAATGCTTTGCATCCCAAACAGGAGCCAAAGCCAGCTGATTTACAGAATAAAAGTTCTGATAACACAACCAGTAGAAGATAAAAGTGTAACGTTTCAATGACTACACAGTCAGCTTCATCAGTCAAATGACCAGTGTGAAGCATTCTTGCACTGACACACATATAGTGTATGGAATGGTAAGTAATTAACCCATTTGGTTGAAGGTGACCATGTAGTCATAGAAACCCTACTCTAATCTTCTACTGATTGTGTTATAAGAACTTTCATTCTATTCACATTACAAACCTGAAGAAAATGTTCTGAATGTTTGACACAGACACATAAAATTTTTCTGCAGAGTTTGCGACAAATAAGCAAGACAAGGACATATAATGCTACTGACCATGAGGACCAGAGTTCATGCCAAATAATACTACAAATCAAATGAGGTCAAAATCTGCTAAGCCTCTCTAGAGGAGGAGACTTACATTGATGACAAACATATCACCACCATATACGTTAATTTTACTATATAAAATACAAGATTCAATAAATTGTTATGTTTGATTATCTTATCGGTCGGAAACCTACATATAAATAAACATTGATTAAAGCACTGTATACTGTAATTATATAAAATATAATTTGATTTCTGATAGGCCTGTAAAACACAGAATAGGAGACCTTATCTGTATACATGTAAGCATTCTGTATGACCATTTAAAAAACAATCAGTCAGTCTCACAATAAAAGGCCAGTCTCAGTCCACAATAAAAAAGACGAGTCTTCCAAATTTCTGGTGCCCATGTCACCATAACTTTTGAGTTCCATCAAAATTGTCAAAACAAAAGTAGATCATACTTTGTATTTATACTAATGTAATCATAACCTATATATACACAAGTAGTTTTAACAACAGATCCCAGCAGGATCATGGCATAAGCCATTGTTTGATCTTAATTTGTCCTTCAACAGTTGAATCTGTTACAAACAAGATGACACGTACCTCCCACATACAATTATACTTAGACTGACACGTACCTCCCACATACAATTATACTTAGACTGACACGTACCTCCCACATACAATTATACTTAGACTGACACGTACCTCCCACATACAATTATACTTAGACTGACACGTACCTCCCACATACAATTATACTTAGACTGACACGTACCTCCCACATACAATTATACTTAGACTGACACGTACCTCCCACATACAATTATACTTAGACTGACACGTACCTCCCACATACAATTATACTTAGACTGACACGTACCTCCCACATACAATTATACTTAGACTGACACGTACCTCCCACATACAATTATACTTAGACTGACACGTACCTCCCACATACAATTATACTTAGACTGACACGTACCTCCAACATACAATTATACTTAGACTGACAGCATTTTACAATATCTGAACATCATACTCAATAAATAAGGCTACAGAGACTATAAGTATGTTGGTAGGAGTCAAATGCACAAAAACAATGTGAGTACAAGTTCACTAAAACAATGCGAGTACAAATGCACTAAAACAATGCTAGTACAAGTTCACTAAAACAATGCCAGTACAAGTGCACTAAAATAATGCCAGTACAAGTGCACTAAAACAATGTGAGTACAAGTTCACTAAAACAATGCGAGTACAAGTGCACTAAATCAATGTGAGTACAAGTGCACTAAAACAATGCCAGTACAAGTGCACTAAAACAATCTGAGAGGTCAGGACTCTATTCATCTAATAAACGTGTAAGTAACATGGCTACCTACAAGAAAACTCTACAGAATTCCTCTATTTCTCTCCAAAATTTTGTATTCACTAATATCATGGCCACTAGCCATATATTGTATGATTTAACACTTGTTTTAAGTGATTATGAAGATTTTTAAAAAACAAACAACAACAAGTACAAACGTGTCAACATTATGATAATCCAAACTCAAATTCAATAAAATTAGGGCAAAATATGAACAGATTTACATGGAAAACAAGGAGATTAAGACCAGATACTCTGGGAGAGTGAGCGTCCTTTGCTTTATCGACGACACCCACTATGTAAATCTTGGTAAATATAAGTAAAAAATGTCACACTCTCAAATGAGAACAAGGTATAAAACAATGGTGTCAACAGGTAAACTAACAAGTATCAAATCTGTCCATCGCACAAAGAAATAGAATATATCCCAAGTGTAACATAGCGCATATTTTTACAGCTTAAGAAATCCTAATCCCAGCCAACTTTCTGGATAAATAGGTAAAGGATATTGGCAGCACTCAGCTTTAACATAACACTGTATGTCAATGAAACAGCATAGTTAGTGACTAGAATAATTAAGATGAATAAGGTTGTGATGATGGATAAAAGACACAAAATGGAGCAACAATGATTATAACAACTCTAATGATACCACAAATCCTGAAAAACACTCCAGCTTTCCCTTTACTGGGAAATGTCACAAGTCACTAACCGGACAAGGCTAGTTCCTGTGGATATGTAGGCACTTTAGTGTCATGGTAGTTAAAATCCAATAGGATGCGGAGACACCATAGTGTACTCAAATTAAAAAATGCTTGAGCTTCAAACTTTTCCAACAGCACAGGTTTGTATGTAACTCAGAAATGCACACAAGAAATATTTAATGCAAGTGACCTCTGTGTTGAGTGGTTGTGCAAAGACATGACAAAGGGAGACAACTGAAAAAGTGATTGCCTCTGCAAATACTTGTTTTAAGTGACAATCACACTACACAACCACCAAACAGCCCTTCCCACCATGTTAATTTTCATCAACTTTTACACAATCACTATACAGTCCCCCAATGTGTAAATTTCTATCAACTAAATTTCTATCTACTTTTACACAATCACTATACATTCCCTCCAATCGTGTAAATTTCTATCAACTTTTACACAATCACTATACAGTCCCTCCCACTATGTAAATTTCTATCAACTTTTACACAATCACTATACATTCCCTCCCATTGAGTAAATTTCTATCAACTTTTACACAATCACTATTTATTCCCTCCCATTGTGTAAATTTCTATCAACTTTTACACAATCACTATACATTCCCTCCAATTGAGTAAATTTCTATCAACTTTTACACAATCACTATACAGTCCCTCCAATTGTGTAAATTTCGATCAACTTTTACATTATCACTATTACAGTTATTTCATCTAAGACTAATCACTCTTGCTTACCCGGATGCAAGTGCAAAGAGTGATATTGTGGGAGGAAACCAGAGTATCCAGGGAAAACCAGCGTGGTCAGGCAGGTGACCCTTTCCCTTTTTATGTCTGTTCCGGGAATCAAACCCTGGACAACTATGTGAAAGGCAGGTGCGTTACCACTGCACCATCCAACCACCCTTATGATTTGTACTGATGCATGTTTCCCCTCTCATTTGTTGATAATTCTACATTGAATTCCTGTGTGATCAGGAGTTTGTTTCCTTTGTTAAATCATGAAACCAAAAAGGTCTGACACTCCTCCTCTTAAACTTTCAAAATGTGTCAAGTTAAGAACATCTTATCTTTTACATTAACAATAACTAAAAGCAAAACCACAAGATTACGTTGTATGTAACTGCTTCTCTTTACACACACATACTTTACTTACAGTGATAGTGGGTATCAGGTGGTAGCTGTTTATATCATACAATAACATGATAACAATATTTCTTACCAAAACTTGGTCAAAGAGCCAGACCCACTCCGCTATAGATATTTTTTCATATTTTATTGACTGGAAATGTTGTTGTATACTAATTGAATTGAAAGGGTACAGGAGATATCGGTGCCAGAATTAGTCTCATTAATCAACACCAGGATATGAATATTGATGAGGGAAAGTCACGTGATATGTTCAGACGCGGTCAGAATCAAAACAAAAATGGAGGAAGAGGTGAGTAGTATGTCCATGTCACATTGCTTGTAAAGAGATTTTACCGATAAATGCAATCAATACTCTATATATCCTGTATGGAAATCATCTAACGTATGTATTGATGGCATCTTTCAATGCTTAGATATGACACAAAAACGTGCAGATTACGAGAAAAACTACGATTAATTGCAAAGAGGCTCTTTAATGGGGGCAACGATACGGTAACGAACAGATAGAACATCCCGAAATGGATCTATCTAAAGTGAATATTGGATGATAAGAGTATTTATGAATGTGATTTTAGAGTGATACTACACGAGAGAGCCAAACAGAAAGGGATTACAGAGTATGAACCAGCCATCTTCCTTCTTTTCGCCTCAGAGTCCGTCAAAACACGTTTTCTTCCCCGCTTCCCTCGCATGCTTTCTGCCATGTTGGAAGTCGGCAGATTTATTTACAGTTCTTTGCGCATGCATCAGAGGGCAGGACTTCCCGCATAATTATGAATTAGCACGGAGTCGTTTCAAATTCTTTTTTAAAACTATTTATTACATTAGATTGGCAGCGATTTAGTTTAAAATTGCGGTATTACAGGGTTGGTCAGAACTTTTGCTACCCGAGAAAAATAGAAAATCATGGGGTTTTTTTAATACAAAATAATATCAGTCGAGGAGTGGGTATGGCTCTTTAAAAGGAAGATGGAAAAATAGCATTCTTTTCTCTGTTTGTTTGTTTTACAGGAGATGTTGTCATCCATTTTTTAACTCTTTGCCCAATTGACACGTCAGGTGTTGAGCTTTCTTCCTCTTCTGGGAATGACAGTAGCTGGGTCTTCTCTGGAACAAATTCTGATCTTGTGACAGATGACACTTTGTGATCAAGTCCAGGTTTTCTGAACAAGCTTCCATATTTGTTTACCTCTCCTCTGGAATAATATGACTGCATTTCTTTGCGGACATGTTTAGCGGAAGGTTCTTGGGTTACAAGTGATGATGTACTATTTGCGCTGTGTATTTGGACTTGTGGGTGGACACTAATGCTGTCATCACATGACCTAACTTTATCTGCTGTAAACCCGGAAACATTCGCCTGTAAGTTGACATTACTGGTAAACTTTGATTCCTGTACAAGGTTGAGGAACTGTGACAATGTTGGGGATGATGCTGACCTGTTTATACCAGTCTTCTTTTCCACTTTAAGGTGTGCACCTCCTGTGAAAGTTGAAAAATTTTGGGTTTTACCAAATCTAATTGAGAGAAATATATCTATATATATATGCTATAGTCTAGAAATAATGATTTTATTTAGAATTAACAACTGACGAGACAAAAACAAAAAATAAAATAAACCTGCAAGTATCAATATCTAGAGATTTTAATAGATTTAACATCAAATAATTAAGTTATCATATAAGCAGGTTATTAAAAACTGTACATAAGTTGATACAATAGAAAATACAGGTCACAGCAACCCGCAACAATAAAATACATTGTTGCCTCTGCTTACTTTATATCTTGTTGATCAGCGTATTGTTTATCTATTATGATATATGCTGCAGTATGTACACCTATGGAGAAGAGTGCTCTCCCCTTACCAACATCTTGTAGATTTGTGTCTGGAGATCTCTCAGTTTCTGTGCAAGTTGATTTCTGAGTAGTATCCACACCAATGGAGAAGAGTGGTCTCCCCTGTTTTTTGGGCAGTACTGGTGGAGTAGTGGGTATTCCACTGAAGTTGTTACTGAAATCCAGAGGTAATGGGGAAATTGTTCGGTCCTGATTCATGATGTCTAATCGTATATGTGACAATGACTACACAGATCTTTTTCTCAAATGTATACCAATACAAAGAGTTGTGTATTCATGTTGTCATACAATTCCATCCAACTGATTTTGTCCCTGAAATGCAAAATAAAAAAACATTATGAATATAACCCTTGTAAAATCTTCTTTCTGAGTTGATAGGTTAATTTTAGAACACTTAACTTTTCCTACTGAGCCAGGTAAAATATAGTGCAATACTTACAGCTTCCTACTGAGCTAGGTAAAATATAGTACAACACTGACAACTCCTGTTGGATCTGGTAAAATCTAGTACAACACTAACAACTTCCTGTTGAGTCAGATAAAATATATACAACACTGACAACTTCCTGTTGAGTCAGGAAAAATTTAGTACAACACTAACAACTTCCTGCTGAGTCAGATAAAATATAGTACAACACTAACATCTTCTTACAGAGTCAGATAAAATATAGTACAACACTGACAACTTCCTGTTGAGTCAGATAAAATATAGTACAACACTGACAACTTCTGTTGGATCTGGTAAAATCTAGTACAACACTAACAACTTCCTGTTGAGTCAGATAAAATATATACAACACTGACAACTTCCTGTTGAGTCAGGAAAAATTTAGTACAACACTAACATCTTCCTGCTGAGTCAGATAAAATATAGTACAACACTAACATCTTCTTACAGAGTCAGATAAAATATAGTACAACACTGACAACTTCCTGTTGAGTCAGATAAAATATAGTACAACACTGACAACTTCCTGTTGAGTCAGATAAAATATAGTACAACACTAACAACTTCCTGCTGGGTCAGATAAAATGGCAGAAGAATCACTTGAATGAGTTGATCCTGGACAGTTAAAATGAATTCATTAAAATAGCATTCTTTTACTTCAACTAACTTCAATAATTAAATTTGGTCATGATCATTTCATACTGAAAATATTCAAAATTACAACCACTAGTAAAACACTAAGACACAACTACAACACTACAACACATATCTTGTCCTTACACACTATTTTGCTAGGTTTTATGCAGGAGTTTCTTCTGTAGCACAGTGTTAAATGTAATGGTTTGGAATAGTACTTTAAAATAGTAAGTATGTAAACTTTTTAAGTATCAACCTTTATTTTGACAGTGGTCACTTGCAGCTGAGCTGAAGATTTCCGTCTCTAAATGATAATTTAACGTCAATATTCACATTTATATTGGTGCTAATGATTTTGACATTTTTATTTTTAAAATGTGCATAGTATGTAAAATTATACATATATATATTAATAACAGCAAAATAAATAAGAATACTGACTGACATTAACACATCATTTAAGGGACAGAAATTTGCAGTTTAGATTGCAGCAGCATTGGCAGCGCAGTCGTCTGCTAGATTCAGATTGCCACGGTAGGTCAAGTGCTTTTTTTTTTATCAAAGTACACAAAGTTCATCACAGAGACGATAAAAGCGTAAAAAGGCGACGAGAGGGGTCGCAGAGACAGAAAACCTTGAACTTGCTAACTAGGTCAATACACCTCATAATTATAATGCACCATGTGTGGACAAATCGGTCGTCTGTGGAATGAGAACCGAAAATATCAAAAAAAGTTTTCGAGCACTGGTCATGATAGTCTTACACTATGCTGGGTTGTTCCACATGCACCTGTGTCTGATTCTTGAGCGTAAACGACACAAGCGAAAGTCCAGCCCACTATAGCAACATACGCATGTTGTTTACCCAACCTGCTTTAGTTGAACAAGTCACGTCATGCAATGGTCAAGAGTAATCGTGTCTCACATGAATAACCAGATCTGAAGCCATGATTTATTCATAGTAATCACTTCATGTCTTTCTAGATCCTTAAGTACAGACTGTAAGTTTCAGACAAAAGTTAGTGACTCTGCGCGATAGTTTTCCGCGGAATGTCGCTTTAGTCTGTTGGAATGTTTGTTAAAAACCTCTTGTTAAGAGTTTACCTTTGTGATGTGCTACGTGCAGAGTTTCAGAAACGTGCTCGGGACAAACGTACAATAATAAACATCACACTACAGAACTGGAGATAAACAAAGCATAATGCTTACATACCAATGCAAACGTCTACGTGTCTATGTTTCTGCGCCGGTTAGACGACTTACAGCATCGGGCAGGATCGGGCAAGATCGGACAGATTTAAAGGGTCGGACAGGATTTCTATGTAGAATTTGTACATTAAAATGTTCCTAATGTAAATACTTTGTTATTAAAGGGCCATAATTTAAATAGAATCGGGGTATAATACTGCCGTTTTAATTTTAATGCAAAATAAATTAATTAAAATCATTAAATCAGCACTATTCTACCTCCGATTCTGCCCAATTCTGTAAATCGTCCTTCGGTCTTGCACGACCAAAACATATATGAGTGTTTTATGTAATATGTCTTCATTTCCCCTTTAAAGCTGTTCTTGGTGTTAAACTTATGATGGTATTAATGAAAAAAAAATCATTAAAATGGCACTATTCTACCCCGATTCTGCTCGATCCTGTAAATCGTAGCCCGATCCTGTAAGTCGTCCAACCCTTTCTGCGCGGGCTTTCAAAGTCGAAAGTACACAACATGGTAGGTACCTAAGATCAGATTTTAAACCATGATCAGCCTTAATTTATAATTATTGATTTAATGACGTATCACTGCTATTTGTTTATGACACATACTCAGTTCTGACATGATAACATCAAATAGTATCCCTCAAACACAAAATGCAAAAGCTATCTTACAATCATAAAAAGTCAGAGCTTAAAAAAAGCGTAGATTTAATAACGACAATCAAATAAATATTTGTATTACTAAACTATGTTTTATGTTAATGACTGTAGCGACGAAAAAAACCAACAGAGGCTGGGTACATCATGGCTTAATTAGATGACCACACGGGGACATTGTACACGAGTCGCACAATCTCACTACGATGTTTTCGTTCCCTCATTTTTGGTAATAAAGCATTACGACGATAAACGATTTCCTGTGGAAACAGAGTCCTAGCGCTTGTTTCGTAACGTTACTGGTACCCGTTCCATAACCGCGTCACGATCACAATTCCAGAGCTTATGCGTCGTCTGTTTGTCGACGCCATTTTAAATAAAATGCTACGTCATACACTTGAACTTTTGCGAGGTTGAAAGAGTCTGTATTTAGACACTTTTTTCTTGGGGATCATCTGGTCTTATTCTCCTTGTACTTTTCCAAGAACCCCTGTGTAAATCTTTCTTTTGTTCATATTTTGCCCTATTTTTAAGGAATTTCAGTTTGGATTATGACTACGTTGACATGTTGGTATTTTCTTGACGTTTTTATAAAGCTTCTTAAAGAATCGAATGATACTGGTCTCTATGTTGATAACTTTGTCAGCGAAACGAAGTCACGTAAATGAGAAGTTGATTAAAAAAAATTCAGAACATATTGTAGCTGTGGCAAATACTAGCCGCAATATACTGCGAAGCAGTTGATGTTGAATTTGTCTCAAGACCAACTCAATTCATCATCCCATGAAATCGACATAAGCAAGATTCAATCCTTATATTTCAATTAACGCTTCTTTTTTTTCTACAGCATGGGAAGTGACGCAATTTATCTTCTACTTTTATTTTCGTTTCTTGTCATCATATCGTCTGACGTCATACAAGCAAATAGTCCGTCATTTGAAGACAGATTATTGTGACAGGTTGAAATATATTTCAGCGTGGTTACTTAATATTCAATGAAACTTTAATAAGGACAAAATTTAATACACTTTTCGACAACTTTAATGAAAATTTAAATAATAGTGTGCAACAAAGACAGTATGCATTTTCCCCACGGAGGAATAACATCTAGACGTGGTGCGCCGGTTCGCAATCGAAGCGGTGGCAGCCATTTTCTACAGGCACCGAAGCTCTTTTGAAACGTAAAGTTACAGTTATTAAATGTTATATTTTTATTTTGATGTTTTTAAATCTATAAATACTTGTGGTATATTGCCAGTCTAGTAGAAGTTGGGGAGTTTTCTCCCCTTAACTAATATTTGTATTCATACACACTGGCAATGTTAATCTGGTCAAATTCATTAGTAAATGAAACAGATCACATTTAGTAGTTTCATTAAGTCTGATTTTGGTAGAAATTGAAATATAATAAGCATAATACGGGAAAAAAGTTGGGCCGGACAGTATAAAAAGGGGGCGGGAGGAGAACGGGAGGAGATTTTTCAATATAAAAAATGTTCGTCCCTTCTAACTCCAAATCCTGAATTCGTGTGTGTTACAGAAGAAATGGTTTACCCGATTCACCTGATCTTCTGTTTGTATAAACGTCTACACCACCATGATTCTTAATTCTTGTTTTTATCGTTGGTTGCGCATTACGATATCTCTGAGCTAGTCTGTCCAATTTCTTAAAAACATTTTCACGTATTTAAAACTTCTTTTCTCCTAGTAGATAGCCCCTTACTAGTAACAATCTGGACTGAACTTGATCTCTTCATTCGAAAAATAGTTCCAGTCTCTTACCACTCTTAATCCAAATGAGTGCCCCCTTCATTTTAGAGTGTTTCTGGTGGATTTTGAAGATATGCCCCTTGTTTTGTTGCTTTTAATAATTTCACACATTTCTCTGCCCTTTTCTTCAATTACATTGAGGTTTCTATAGACTTCAATGACATCGGACTTCTTTCTCTTATATTTTAAGGTTGGAAGTCGGAGCGATGGTAGCCTATCTGGATTTGACAAGTCCTCTAAAGATCTAACATGCTTAGTGACTTTTCTTTGCGCTTTTTTTTCACTTGCTCTAATGTCTTTCTGTAACAGTGGATTCCATACAGTTACAGCATGCTCTAAATTCGGTCTAAGGAGAACCTTATACAGTTTTATGAACATTTCTTTGTCTATATGTATGAATGACTTCTTTAATAGCCCTACTTATCTGTTCGCCTTTTTAACACTTCACAACATGTATGTTGAACTTCAAGTCAGTGTCAAATGTGACCCCTAGATGTTTTTCCTGATATCCTTATTGTATTTTTTAACAATCCATATAGTATCTGTGCCTTTCCTTGTTATGTCCAAAGTGCAAAGATTTACATTTCCCAGGATTATATTTATGCTACCACGTTTTAGACGAATCTCCCAGGGTGTCCAAGTCAGTCTGGAGTTGACCTGTTATCGTTGTAACTTGTTCCATATATCTTTGTATCATTTGCGAACAATTTTGTGGTAGATTTAGTACTTTGATCTATATTAAACATAATACAGGTCCAAGGACGATCCCCTGGGGGACCCTGCTTGTTACATTTGCCCAATTTGATATTTTACCACTGATAAGTACTCGTTGTTTCAGGTTACGTAGGAAAATGCTATCCAATTTGACACTTTATTTTCTATACCAATGACTTTGAATTTTGCTGTTTCTTTGATGGGAAACTTTGTAAAGCTTTTTGAAAATCTTCATAAAAATGCCCATTTTATTTCCCTCGTCTGTTTTCTTGATTATATAGCCAAGGATCTCTAAGAGCTGTAGTGTGACTAATCGTCCCTTGTGAAACCCGTATTGACCATTATTTAACAGACCTTATTGGTTCAAGTATTCCACGATGCTGTCCCTTAAGATAGATTCTATAATCTTGCATATTATACTTGTCAGACTAATAGGTCTATAATCATTTGGATTTTTTACTGCCCCTTTTTGAAGATTGGAATAATGGTAGCTTCCCTCCATTCATCGGTTAGATTTTCATCTTCCAGATATTTGTTAAATATAATATTCAAGGGTTTGCTTAATACAGTTCTTGTTTCATATAATATTTTTGGATGAATTTCATCCGGACCTGTGGCTTTGGATGAGTCATATTTGAATAGTTTTGCCAATACTTTTTCCTCAATGATGTCTAACCGTCTCATTTGAATATATGTATTATCAATTGGTAATGTAGGGATATCTTGATGATTCCCAATAGTGAATATTTTGCAGAAACATTTGTTGAGAACATCTGCTTTGTCACTTTTGTCCGATTCCATTCTGCCATCTTCTGCCTCTAATATAGAGATGCCTGTTGTTGTCCTGGTTTGAATATATTTCCAGAAGCTTTTAGAGTCTGTCTTAAACTCGTTGACTATCTTTTGTCCATACCGTTTAGAAGTCTGTTGCTGTACACTTGTGGCGTGGTTCCTTGCTCTTTTGTAATTTTTCATTCTCGTTACCTCTGTACTTATATTATTCTTTTTCTCTTCACTGCTTGTATTACTGTTTCGTTCATCTATAGGTTTCGAGGTCTCCCAGGACTACTTTTGTTTACTGATTTCCATTGTTCAGTACACTACATAATTTTGTCAACAAAGTAGGCCCCCATGATTATTCCAGATCCATTAGATTAATTTCATCCCACCTCTTTCTATCCAGCTCCAGGCATATCTGTTCATAGCCCCAACCCTTGTATACAATCTAAACTTTCAGGGTCATTGTTTCTATTTGCCAATGTATTTCCTTTTAGTTAAAAATTCAACAGTATGAGAAGGTGTGAGGCTCTGTCGCTTGATTCTTGTATCACTGTCTAGGTTTTCTGTGTGTCTCTGCTACTGGAATGACTCTTGTACATACATCCTATTAACAGCTTGTAATTACTACCTGTGATTTAATGCTACACCATATCAACTACTTGTGATTTAATGCTGCACCATATCAGTTCTTTGAAGTCTAATTGCGTTAAATCGTCTTCCTCTTCTTCTTGATGTTTA